TGTTTGGAATACGAAATCCGACTTCTTGCGTCCTTTAATAAATGATTGTTATCATTCTCTTTCTCTCTCTCTCACACACACACACACACACACATACACACACACAGAGCGATAAAAATTTAGCCATAAACAATCACAAGAGATAAATATGTCAGTGCAAAACTATATACAATCAATTATACTGAGCTTGGAGATTGATATATTATTATACAAAATGCTAGTATTACTGTGTCGGTCATAATGAAGTATTAATCGGTCATATTTATTAAGTATTAATTTAAGTATTAATTTTTATTAAAAATATCTTTTTTATATTTTTTATTACACAGAAAATCGCACAATGTTGCACAATCGATTTATTATAAAATTCTTAAATTATTATCTCTCTGTAAAATATCAGGGCAATAAAAATAAATTGTTATTATCAATATTATTTAATGACAACATAAGAGCATATAAAAACATACACATAAATTTAATTAAAGTTAAGGCTTGCTATTCCAAGTACTGGGTAATAAAAATATGATTGCGAATACTTTACGTTAGTAAGCTTGAATATTTTAAAATTTTGATAAATATTAATTCCGATCTACATTCGGCAATAACAAAATTATTTTTATGCTAACCGTTTTGTTTTTATATGTATCTTTACTATTATTAACGAAATGTGCAAAGTTTTTTTTTACAAAAGTATGCGATTAAAATAAATAATCGCTAAATATTTAAAATATACTTGGTTACTATACATGTATCATTCGTATAATGTATTATTGTTAAATCGCTAAATATATGTATATTACAAAGTGCTTTTAAAGTGCTATTGATATAACAAATTATTATTCTTAAGTGCGTATTAGCATAACAATATAATTAACTTTACATAAATACTTTTATGTTGTTTTGCCGTTTTATTCAATCAAAAGCTATTATCATATGTATTCATATGTATACACATGTATACACAACATAACGTGTAAAATTTAAATTATGCATCTTCAGATCTTCGGTGAAATATATAAACAAGAAAGGAGTGTAAAAGAGAAGCAGAGTGATAAGATCGAATATAAGATATTGTAAAGATAAATTTGTAATTTGTGTATACATGATTATGTATACTTTTTTTACAAACTCAGATATATTTTAACTTCAGCTTGCTTTTAGCGTAAATGTTTCAAGGAAGACGAATACAATTGTAATATGAGGGTCTTGAATGTATTCGCTTATTTGTGCTCGGTACAAATCCTAATCGTACAATCAGTGGTCGACGATATGTATATGGACAATTATACGCGTGACAGTTGCACGCAACATACACGTACATACATAAGGTACATACATACACGTACATGTATAAGGAACTTGCTGATACTTACAAGATTAATAGTGAATTAAAAAAAGATTTGCACACTTCGTCATTATTTGGATAAAGAATTAAGAAACATTATTTCTTTATTATGTATAAGAGATAAAATATTCTCGCAAATATACTTCACAGCAATTTTTAATGCTCATATAAAATTATTATTGTATTTAAAAAGACGGATTGTGCAATTTGTTTTTGTCCACTTTTAATCAACTATTATGCGCAATTAGTACTCTCATATAACGAATGTTGCGTGTAGCGTAAAATGATTAAGCTCGTATTTGTATGTTGCTATAAATGTAGATACGTTTACACAATGTGTATTGCTGTGATTAACACATAGACCTAGGCGATGTTATACGTTAGACTACAATTAATGTGAAAGGAGATAAAGACAGTCAAAGCTGTCGACTGTTAGACGTGCATATGTAATTGCATTTTTATTTGGAAAGTACATCCGTAGTCGTCCGTTTGCAATTTTATATTTCTATCAAGGCGCCTCCAGACGATATGGCCAACGAATATCCCAACTTCACACACATTCGTTAAATATTGATCTACATTCAATATGGATAATTACGTATGTCATGTATGTGTATAATATTTGCTCATATTGGCATACGTTGGTCATATCGTCTGGAAGCGCCTTTACACGAGCATTTCGGGCGCGAAAAATTTAAGAACATTTAGAATTCTCTACTTCTGCAATAATTATCATCAACGTCCACCGATTATGCAATAATGATTGATGTTCAGCAAACATTTCATTGATCTTAAACTTCGAATGCCATATTGCTGTGTAGTGATCGCACTCTTAAACAAAATTTTATTTCGTCCATCGGCAAAAATTTGTCTTTAAAAACAAACATATTCGTTGCAATTCGTTGTCATTGTTCAATGATCTTTCACTGCGCGCGATTAACGCTAAAATGTACTGTAAGAGGTAATGATATTATCTTGAAGCCACCTATAATTTATCAGTCATTTAAACATAATTACTTAGTGTTACTGAAGAAATAGTTATTCATTAGAGACATCATAATGAGAGAGAACATGTAGAAATTATTACGATTTTATAATGTAAGAAATTTACATAGAAAGAGAGATAATATTATTATTGACGAGGTCTCCATTCTGATAGTAAAATAGAATTATTTTAAGTCAGAAGCAGATAGAAAAATGTAAGACAATAAGACGTAAGCAATAAGCGAATCGATCAATCACAGCAGAAAACGTAAAACAATAACTTTAGATTCTCTACTGCGATTGGTCGATTCATTTACTGCTTACGTCTTACTATTTTACGTTTTTGTATGTGCCATATTATCTACAAAAATACAAATACGAATTTACAGTTTACATTGTAACGATTAAGGTTTTCCTAGCCTAATATAAGAACATTCGTAACGCATTATGTTACATTAAATATTGATCATAAACTAAAGCCTACGTAATAATAAACCTACAACACATTAATAAAATCATAACGTAATGTTAAACATTATGTTACGATTTTCTTTGTACGTTGTATATGAAGCTTATTTACTATTATATACAGATTTCAGTAGTTAACGTAACGCGTTACGGATGTTCTTGTGTAGAGAATCTAAATCATGTCATTTTCGTAAAAAAAATAGCGATTTCTTTTCTTTAAACAAATGTAACGCTAGATGATCAAATGTCAAGATGACTTCAAGATAATAGTAGAATCAACGCTTGCACTGCCTTTCCTATTCATTAGTGTAATATCAAATGTGGCGGTCTGGTCTCTTTAGCGTAGGCACTATGGAATATTACTGCGTACACGTGCATATTGCTGTTAACTATCATGAATCTTAAAGAAGTAGACTAAAAAGAAGATATGTCGTTAATTGAACTCACTCTTGCTGGTCGAGAGTCGTAGTCTAGCAAGATATTCGAAAAGACATATACGAGTTATTTAGACACTCTCAAGACGATTCCATAGTTAATAAAGTAAAGAGAACTTACAGGTTCGTGCTCGCAGCAGCGCATGAGCGATTTGATGCTTTAGAAATTAATTAAACTTTATGTACAATTTAACTCTTAGTATTCAAAGTATTACTAATTTCTGTTATTTTTTCGATAGGAAAAGGGCCTTGATTCTATTTTTCTTTCATTATATTTTTACAAACTATTAATACAAAAAATTAATTCTTGCACATCTTCGTAGATGTAATCAAAATTATAAAATATTGTATGATAAGTGATAAGTATGGTAATTGAAATATCATCTGTTATTATCTGTTTATACATATAAATAATTTTAATGCTTATAATAATTGTAAAGATTATATTATCATACTATACATTGGAGATTGAAAATTGCGAATTGAATGTTAGAATTCGACCAATCAGATAATTTTAATTTTAGTCCATTTCATTCTGATTAGTTGAAAAATCTAATCTTAAATTAATAATTTCCAATTTGCATAATTTGATACTTAATACTACCTGTTAATAATTATATGACAACAATTTCGTTTTAAAAATTATTACAAAATTAATTACATTCAAAATAAAAATTTTTTCATTTGTTTTAATCGAGAAAACAATTAAGAATATTTATTATAACGATATTAATCGCTACGATTGCGTGACTGCGCATATGCCTGTTCGTTCACATATTTTTGCAGATTGGCTGTAAACAAATTGTCGAGATTAAGAGGATATAAAAAAAGTACAAAATAATAATTACCAGCAATAATGTGAACACTTAAAAACATATCCGGATATATCTGCAAATGAAAATTACCAAAATATTTATTGCATGAATCAAAAAGACTTACACACACACACACACACACACGCACACACACGCACGCGCGCACGCACGCACGCACGCACGCACGCACGCGCGCGCGCGTGTAATGTAAGTCTTTTTATTCATATACATATATACAATGAATTAATTATTATCTGTATATTTTCTTGAGTGCAATCTGCAAAAATAAAGAAGAGCACATACAGCATCATATTATGCACGAGAATCATTGTGAGTTCATAAACGCAAGTCGGATCGGTACAAAAATACTGTATTAAAAAATGAAAATAATACATAATACATACACGTATGTAAACACATACACACATATTAATAGTGCGTTGTAAGATGATATTATATACGCAGTCAGAAGATATAGCATGAATATTGATATGATATATTTATGGAAAATTCATGTTGACAAATAAATTATGTATGAACAGTGCATATATGTTGCTTCTTATTTAACAGTTTTTGCTTCAGACATTTAATGATGTATACAATGCGGTCCATAAGTTTTGAAACTGATTTTTTTACGGTAGTAAAGGAAAGGTTCCTATTATGAGATACCGAGTTTATTTTGGACAAATATCGGAAGTGTGTGAGCAGAATTTTAAGAAATAATAGGTCATTTTAAAGGGAATTTAATAAGCTTTAAGATACCGTTATGTAAAATTTAATTCAAATACTATTTTTTCTGAAAATTACAGAAATGTAAAAAGTGAGCAAAGTCAAAAAATTGTGCACATAATATCTCGAAAAATCGATAATAAAGTGCAAAGTACATCAGTTTTTCAATTAAAAAATTTTATTTAATATTTGTAAAATACAAACAAATATAGCCAATATGCGTAAAATGAGCATGCGATAGATTGTACCCAGAACTCGTTTTCAGATAGTAGGAAACAAGCATCGCAGAAACAGGCACTCGATGTTCATTCCGATTATCCTTTTTATTACTGTACAATAACATTCATACTCTTCAGCAACATTTTGTAAAGACTCTTATAATTCCTTATCGCGCATCTTGTCCTACAGTTTACTTGCATCCATGACATCTGTGGCAATGTGCGTCGCAGTCTTCTTTATCTTAATGTGAAATTTTCATCCATTAATAATGCAACATCAAGAACAATTTCTTTAATATGTAATATTTTTAATAAATATATTGTTGGAGAACTTACTCCTTTTATAGGTTTGCTAATAATAGGTTTGAGTATTTCAAACTGTAATAAAAAAAGAAATAATTCCATTTAAATATATAATTATAACGGTTTTTTCAAACGTAAAACAAAAAAAAGGAAGCAACATGTACCGTGGTTACATTAGCGTTCGATAAAAAATAATTGTATTATAAAATTGTTTATGGTATTTAATTAAAGATTTCGCCATAGTGTGATTCAACCACTTTGAATTTTCAAATTTTCAATCCGCCATAACGATGAGGTCAGTTTTCTAATGCAAACATTTAGAATATAAATTCGTAACAATATATTTCATAATGTCTATAATGGAGCAGCGCGCGCGTAACGCAGGGAATGTGCTAGTAATTATAAATAAAACATATACGCTAGATGTTTCCGATTAATAATTTCAAAAACTTATAGAGAAAACTTATAGAAATAAAATCTCAAAAAAATACGAGAGAGAGAGAGAGAGAGAGAGAGAAATTTTCCATATTTTGTTAAATAAAAAAACGAATTCTAACTACAACTATAGAACTTTAACTATAAAAATTGCTTACCAAATCAGGCCATGAATCGGCTTCAGAAAGAGCTTTTGCTTTCGTTTCGAATGCATCCATGATCGCCATAATGAAGATTATGGCAAGAGCCAACGATAGATAGGATGGTCGCATTTTTAAATATTTATTAAAGTTCAAGTTATTTTCAATTATACGTACGTTCTAACTTATCGGCGATGTGTAGAGCTTATATAGGACAAGAAATGCGATCTAGATGTCGTTTTCGTGTCTAACACGCGGAAGTACTTACATTTCATATTGCAATAATGTTGAATATATGATATACATAAATATTACATGCATAATCATGATATTTTTATCTTATACGAGAAAAATGTGATATTAAAATAAATAATAAAAAAAATACATACACGAAATTATTAAACTATAAAATATGACACACTATGTATGTAATACATACATTATATTTAAAAATAATATAACGTTAAAATGATAAAAAAAAACATTCCTACTTCTAGAAAATAAAATCGTGCCATTTAATCGTGCCATTTAAGTATCATTTAAGACATTACTGTCTTTCGAGTAAATATGTGCTTTGGGCTAGCTTCTTTAGCGACTTATTACATAAATTTCTATATTTAAATATTATAGTATTATTTCGTATACAACTTTAATTTCGATTGAAAAATTTAGTGATGTGACCAATATTGCTGTTCATTTTTCTTTAATGGAAATTTTAACAATCATTATTTATTATAATTCGAAAGCGATAATAATTGATAATATCAATGCAAATTGCGAATACGGCAGTTGTATGCCTGAAAAAGAATGTGGATTGTGTGAAACTTCCATAGAGCAGGTATTACTTCAATGGTTTATGAATTCGAGATAGGTTATTATAATATCGTAATCAATGTATTTGAAAAAACATTATATTTTATCTTTTTATACATTTATTTTATTTGTGGTACACTTAACAAAGGAATTATTTGTTTATTAATTATTTGTTTATTACCAGTAAAAAAAAGTAGTAGCTTTAAAAAATCTAACATATACATACAAAATACATATTTTAGTAGCATAATTTATTGACATAATATTGGCTTTAAATTGGTTCTATGTATCTCAAACATTTAACAAAAGTAGCATTAAAATGTATTGTTGGAAAAGAGCTTTCTAAGATAAGATATAATGAGTGTATAATGTAAAATACAATATTATAGTCTGTAAAAAAACTTGATTGATGCTGCAAACTTCTTGTTTATTTGCTATGACGTAATCAAAAGATGAATAATAGGAATATACAAATTAAGTTATTAGTAATTTACGGTTTTATTTAAAAATATTTATGATATTCTTTTTATAGTCTTTCATTTTTACTACAATCTTTCCCAATTTCTTTATTGTGCGTTCCTTATTTAATGTTATTAAAATTTTATTCTACGAAAAATGCAGCTTCTTCTTTCCCTTAAATGTAAGACACGTTTTCATTAATATATGTATAATGACAATTCTTCGTCCATATATTTACAATCGATCGAGAATTTGAATTCCAACTTAAATTACAAAAAAGAAGTTTATATAAAAAGAATTCTGTTATAGAATAACATTTAATTATGAAATGACTAATGCTTACAACATCCAATGTTCCTTTCGGATCGGTTTTACCGACTGCATTAGCTTTAGAAAAAGCGTCTGCTTCCACCTCGAATGCGTGTATGATCGTCATAATAAAAATTATAACAAAAACCATCGATAAATAAAGCAGTCACATCTTGTATTATTTAAGAAGTATTAATATGTACGTTTTTGATTTATTGCAAACGCATAATTCTTATATAAGAAAAGCTCAAGAAATGCAATTTAGGTATTGTTTTCGAGTCTAACAGATATCTACATTTTCTTATATTGTACTTCACACATTTATTGCATATACATAAATATCATTTTTTGAATCATAAAAATATTTTCATTTTATGCAATATATAAAGTTAAAAAAATACGATAAAGACTATAAACTTGAAATAATCCCAATGATAATGATTAATACGTAAAGTATGACTCAAATATATAATACACATGTCAGTTTTAAAAATAGTATAAACAATAGAAAAAAACTATTATTTTTTGAAGATAAAGTTGTGTCCTTTAAGTCGAAATGTTCGTTCGGGTAGATAGATGTATTTGTTTTTGATACTGACTGACTATATTTCCTGTTGATTATAGCGTCGTTTCGTTTTATGTAATTTTAACAGATAAAAATGAAGATTAGGGACTTAGTCATTTCCAGTAGCCTTGATCTATGTTGTTATGTGTTAAATATTTTTTAAATATGAAGTTTTTGTTTAATTTTCCTTAGCAATGTTTAAATACAATTATTTTCTATAATTATTTAGTGACTATCAATCAACGTAATAAATATTCTTGCTCAATTAAAAATATGTCGAAGTATTTATTTAAAACACTGTTTTTCGAATAATATCGCTTTAATTACATTGTTAAATGTTATCGGATATGTATGTCTCTTATATAATACACATTGCTTTACATTTTTTGTCAGTTTTATGAATATGATCTGTACATTACTGTTATCGAATTGATGTGAGGTAACATGATTGATTCAAGGGGATGATTATGATAACTTTGGCCCCTCAAAATAAAAGTTATTTTTTAAAGCATTTTTAGTAAGGAACGCGGGAAAAATAATAAAAAAATTCTATAATCAATATTTAATTTGATAATCATAATTCAATTTTATGATCAATTTAATAATAACTTTTTAATAAACAATGATTATCCACTAAAAGGTTATGACTCTGAAAGATCTCCAACAGGTTTTAGGTGGCTTTCACCCTCGACTCTTCTCTCCTCCATCCCTGCAAAGGGGCGCACGACTCTCACCTCCGACTCTCACTCCTCTTGCCCCCTGCAAAGGGGCGCGCGATTTTCCATGCGAAGTGAAGTCCACTCTACTTTTTTTCTTTGTAATTGTTAATTATTTTGATATCTGTTGGTTAGAGAATTTTTTTACTATTTTTCTCGTATTCCTCGCTAAAAATGCTTCCGAAAATCACTTTCATTTTGAGAGGCCAAAGTTATCGTAATCGTGTCGATTTAAACAACGCATGTAATGTATCTGCCGTTTAAAAATTTGGAATACACATTAAACACAATATTAGCATATATCTCCTGTACAGACAGTTTGTAACGGTTTATAATAGTTGATCTAAAGCACGACGCTAGAATATGACGCTCTTTAAGGTCACATTAACACTACCCATTCGTTCACCGACAGTCGAGCAAGCAGGTAGCAGCGCGAATAATTTCGTGTACGCAACGATTTATGAACGATTGGAGATTGCAGTAATTAATTTATTACCTCTTCCAATCAACGATTTGTATAAGCAATGAGTATTTATCGAAGCGATTATTTCGCAGTGAATAATATTTACATTGAAATTGACGTGCGATTTGTAATGGGAGTTAAAAATATTACCGTTTTATTGGAACGTTTATTATATTTATTTATACATTAAAAATGTTTAAGTGAAAATTATTTTTTCAAAGAATTTTGGAATATATCGTACCATTTATTAATAGATAATATTTCGCTGAAATACACGTCGCATTTGATACTGGCAGTGCTGTGGGAAACTTCGTGCAATCGTCACATTCGGTAACTAATTTATGGATAATTGTAAATAACTGCGAGTGCGGCAAACGAATTAAAAGAAAAGGAGGATTGGAGAAGGTAGCTTGAGAGTCATTGGGCATTACGACCTAGTATAGTTACAACCGAGCTGATGTGCATTGTATCTGCTAATATGAAAATAATTTTGAATCACATAAAGTAATGATAAATCAAATAAAAGCTTTAATGAATAAATAAAAAAAAATTAAAGCGAAGCCTTTGAGAGCCGACACAGGTTGTAAGTATGTAATTGTAAATACTTTATTATAAAGAGACACATATACGTTTGGATCCTCTTCAGTATAAATAAATATATAAATAAATGAACTTAATATTCACATAAATTAATCATAAATATTGTCATGAATATCGTAGTAAAAATCGTTAACAGTACATGAGAATTAATATAGTTCTCATGTCCACATCTTATTATTGGTTGTGTAATGATAAATGTTACAAAAACACTAATAATCAGAGATTTTATCTTTTATCTTACGTTTGTTTTATAAAATAATGTAAAACGAAAATAATCGGTATATTTCCATTACTGCTCAAAAATTAATTCAGTATAATTGAAAAAGAGAAAGAGATATTTTAAAATAAATAAAAAACAGTTAAAGTGTACTAGAAAATTAATATTCTAATTATAAGAGGATAAACTATATTAAAAATAAAATATTATAAAACATCTGTAAATAAAACACGATGATGCAAGTTTGGTGTTTATTTATTATCACATAATTAGGAAACGAACAAATATAATAGATACAAATATAATTTACATTTTTGTTTGAAAATATATATATATAATATGCATTCTTTGCAATCTCCCATTCTCATCGCAATCATTTTTCTAGTTTTCCGGTGTGGATTTTATTTGAATTTCATTTCATAAAAAATGCAGCTAATTGTTTCTCTTAAATATAAAATATATTTTCATTAATATATAATTAATTTTCTTGTTTTTCTGATGTCTACTCTGTAAAGTTTCTTTCTTTTGATTTTATCTTGTCCATGGTTGCTAGCGACTCATCTATTTTTATAATAAAAATATGCAATATCAGATATAACTTTTGAAAATATATGATGATAAAACTGAACACATGATTGCTCAAATAGAAAGACATTTCGAAAATGACGTACAGACGTTTAAATCAGTTTAGAGAAAAAGGATAAAAAAATGTTGAGCGTTAGGCAAGTTATTGTTAAAATAAGTCTGTAGACGGAATTGAAGAATACGTAATAATAATTTACTATCCATAACATGAAATTCCATAAGTACCTGGATATCTTGGCATAGCGTAAAACTTCCGGGTATTGGTTTTACTCTACACTGTTGGAAAAAATGTCGAATTTAATATAAATCGCATGTTTCAAACTGTTCACTCAAATCCTTGGGTTCATTTAACACAAGATGAATATGTTAAAAAGTTATTCAAATATCATGTAAAAGAAAAAAAGTATAAAAAAGATATATTAGCACAGTTTGTAAACAA